TTTATTTTCGATTCGAAATTACGTCACCCGTAATTTGAAATTAAAATGATATATAGTATAATATTATAATCAAAGTATAAGCGCTCTGTTATTCTCGAGAGATGCGCAGCTATTACACGCTATACACTTATAAGTTATAACATTTAATATTATATTAGTTAATCATATCGTGTGAGTATATTATTACCTATATTATAACATGTGTAAGTGTAAATACCAAATACTAAAATATAGTAAATACTGTAATTTTATTGTTATCAATCAAACAATTATTATTGAAATAACAGTCGCAAATATAATAATAACTACGTAATGTAGAAATCTGAAGTACGCCCGATATATTATTATGATGCGTATATTATTGTGTGTTGGGCGTCGAATATCGAAACATTGAAAATCATTGCAGTAACAGAATAGGTATAGCCGACGATCCTCGATCGGACGATTTGTGAATTAACCGATCAAATAATATTTCTGCTACCGAGGTATCTATCTATAATCGACCTACTCAAGTCTGTTAGGTACCTAATCCGTTAGACAACTGTGCCCGACAAATAAATAACGAAACGCAGGGGCCGGGGGCGTCCCTGGATCATAATTGAGGGGAGGGACGAGAAAAAAAACGTTGAAAATAAGCCATGAATAAGGAATATTATACAGTGGTGACTGGTGGTCAGGCAGGGATCCAGAGTAAAGATCTGGGGAGGGGGCACTATTTTCTGCTTATATAAAATTACAATATTTGAATGACTATCCACCAGGAACAAAGATAGTACTATCTTAGTTTGTGCACCCCAGGTCCCCAGAATGATACGTACTCGTATAATAATATATTATATTATCAGACATACTTGTAATTTTAAATATGGTACTATCAGGATCTGTAGAATTATTAAAAATTGGGAAATAATATGTCTGGGGGGGGGGGGGTACGCCACTAGCCCCCCTGGATCCGTCCCTGGTGGTTGTGCCTCTTGGTAGGGATAATATAGATAGACGTCAATTTTTCTAAAAAATGAAATTCCAGCCATGCACTAAAAAAAAATATTGATAAATACAAGCTAGTTACTGTTTTTTTTTTAAACTTAATGAAGAAATTGTATAATATGTTATTTCACTTTGACAAGTTACCTAACCTTACGTTTTTACTTTAGGTAAAATAAAACAATACGCACAGTATTAGGGACGGGCGTAACACGATTGCGGACTTTTTACCTTTTTACCTGAAAAAAACATAACACGATTGCGGACTTTTTACCTTTTTATATTTGAGGAAAAACAACACGATTGCGTGTTAAATATTTTTATTTTGAGTAAACACAATTTTTATGTTCCTGTAATTTATTGTTTTTTAATTTCAAAATCAACTGAAACTTATATACAAATGTGGCACACAATTATTAATTTATGTTTAAGATTAGACATAGATATACAAAAATCGTTAAAGTATTCAAATTTTCATTTTGATTTTGAAAAAAGTGCTCACAACGCTGTTAGACATTTTTTTCCAAACTGCAAAATTATGGCCTGCAGATTTCATTTAGGCCAATCTTGGTTCAGGAAAATTCAAAGTGACAGTAATTTATTAAAAAATTATAATTCAAATTCTGAACTAGGTGTTTGGTTGAAACAATTTTTTGCACTTGGATTTTTACCTTCGGAAGATGTAGAAGATGCTTTTACTTATTTAATTGAAAATAGCCCTACTGATAATTTTGAATTCACTGATTATATACTGAACAATTATATATCATCTGATGCCGTTTTCCCACCGATTTTATGGGCAACTGAACCTTCAACAGAGGCAAGAACGACCAATGTGCCAGAATCATTCCATAGTCACTATAATTCTCAGTTTTATACGTCTCATCCATCTATTCACCAAGTTCTACATATTTTATTAGATATCCAAAGTGAAACTTATTTAAAAATATATAGTTTAAAACAAAATAATATTAACAAGCCTCGTAAAGATCAAGAAGAGAATATTGCATATATAATAAATACTTGGCAAAAATATAAAAAAAAAGAAATATCTTTAAATAATTATTTGCTGACATTAGGACCACGTTTTTGTGCAAAAAAGTTATAAGAACTTGATTTTTGTTATGTATATAGGTATATTTTTTTTTTTTGACACGTAATAATAAGTTACTGTGATTTATATACATATATTTTTACTAATTTACTAATTTTTACTACTATTTTTACTTATTTTTTTTACTTATTTTACTAATTTACTATTTTTACTTTTATTAATTATTATTATTATCATCGTTATGAGTACATCTTAATTCTTTATTATATGATTTTTTTTTACATACTTATTGAGTTACTATTAATGTTGGTAAAATTATTTAAATATTTGTGTTTGCTCAAAATAAAAATCGTGTTGTTTTTCCTCAAATATAAAAAGGTAAAAAGTCCGCAATCGTGTTGTTTTTTCTCAAATATAAAAAGGTAAAAAGTCCGCAATCGTGTTATGTTTTTTTCAGGTAAAAAGGTAAAAAGTCCGCAATCGTGTTGCACCGATTAGGGACAACAGACGTATTTGTAGAAAAATTTAAAATCTTCGTAATTCGTAGGTAATAACATTGGTTATAAAATAGGTATACGACTATACGAGTATAGGTTGTAACTTGCAGGTATAACATTAATGTATTATTATACAAGAAATAGTAATAATGTTGTATATTATTGTTAATTAGATATTTTCGTGTATACCTGAATCATCTACAATTTATTTTTGCTTGAAACATGACTAAAAATCAAATTAATATGTTTAAGGTCAGCTAGGCATTTTCTGGTAGGGCCATGGTAGGCAGCCAGTGTAAATAATTATGTTGAAAAATGATGTATAGAAAATCGTGGTGTCTGGCTAATGATAACTTCAATAAGTACTATTTTTACGAATATTTATTTTGTATAAATCGTTTGATCTGTAATTTTTAAATTCGACATCACCAATTGATATTCGTCTGCAAAGCAGTGTGGTCTCAGCCAAAGTTGAATATGCAACAAGTGGATTTATCATGTCATATGGCTACATCAAACAAAATTTCTAGAATTTTGAGCTTTTATTGGTACAAAAAAATAGGTACCACAAGACTATGAGAGAGCCGATTGACCAGTCAATACCTCAGATGGACCAGATTATAGCTTATACTTAGGTATATTTTATTTGGCTGGCAATGCTTGCTGCTACCAATCGAGTATCAACTATCAAGACAGCATCACTAATTAAGACGATATATTATATACACTAAATTCGTGGACAGCACGCGCCCTCGCCGAAATATAACTCGTAGAGTCGTGTCCAGCGACAACCGCTGGCTATCGATCGCGGTCGACCACGTCGATTTACATATTTTTCACCATTAAGATATTATTGTCATAGCCATTAGCCATCAATCAACGCAAAGTGATATAACAATCGTTGCACCGTCATCGTACTATTGCCAATAACTATTACTATTTACTGGTCGCATATAGTTACTTTGGGAAATCGTTACATATTATGTGCGTTTCATAGTTTCATTATTTATTACATTATTATCGGTATTCGGGACCTAACCGGAATAATACTTTTACTTTCTCTAAGCCGAACAAAATCGGCTACGCGCTCCCAAGCGACCCTTTGCCCTTTTATCACGAATTTGCGGTGCCGTTAAAAATTACGATCGTTACACTAATACACTATCGCGGCGAGTTTTTGCGGTCTAACGATCGTTAATTTTCCCCATAATATAATAAGATATCGGTCGTAAGTGCAAACATACCGCGAGTCCGCGATCTATATAATAATAATAACAACGACAATGACAATAATTACGCCGCCGCCGAATCGAGGTAAAAACTCGAAAGTGAAAAGGTAAAGAAACCGCCATACACACAAACGACGGTACGCCGCCGCGGAGCGCAGGTTCGAGTTGAGGTCATACCCTTGGTAGTAGTTGTTGTACACTATAATACAACGCACTCGTACAGTCGTACCGTCGTTTACTCCACTCTCGGCGAACCAGTCGGCCGGCGGGTCGACCTTGGCGGCTGTAGAACATACCGATATTCCGTGCGGCTAGACCTTGATCCGTTTCGCTGGTTGTTTTTATCGCGGTTATCACGCCGACCGCCCGTCCACCATTCACCCAGTGACCGTGTTGCTGTCTACACGCACGTCGAGCACCGAACACCATGAGTGGCAAGTGAGTACAACATGTATTATAAGTGTAATTTGTTGTACGATTGTATTTCTCTGTACAATATCGTACCTAATCCAACTTGATCGTTTTCACCGATTTTCAATCATTTTTCTCGTCCATCGACCATCGTTGACGTCGTCATGTCGTTTTGTTTGCTTCGCAGATCAGACTTCGGACTCATCGGCTTGGCCGTCATGGGCCAAAATCTCATACTCAACATGAACGATCATGGGTTTGTGGTCACCGCCTACAACAGGACCGTCGAGAAGGTGGACGAGTTCCTGCAAAAGGGTGCCAAAGGCACGAAAATCGTTGGAGCGCACTCGCTTAAGGAATTGGTCGACTCATTGAAAAAGCCTCGCCGGGTCATGATGCTTGTCAAAGGTGAGTCAAATTTGTACAGTTTTCATCGAACACTACTAATGTCAACACAAGTAGATCGGAAGTAGGTGGGTAGCCACTTGGACTAACTACCTTTTATAAAAGTCTCATTTTGAAACTAATTTCTACAATATGATAGTAATGAGTATCACGTAGGTGTGCTCGTTTCATTTTTAGCCAGTCCAATAGAATGATAAGCAGCCGACTTATTTTTCTCGCTGTGTCATAACTCATAAGTAATACCAGCAAAGGGTGTGCAAGGTAAAAACTATGTGCTCCTAAGTCATTCGATTATATGCTTGAGTAAAGTATTGTTTAGTATTGACATAAATAGGTATAATATTATATACGTGGGTGATTGGCATTTAAAATTAATATTTACCGACCCTCTAATTAATCCAAAAGTAATTTCAGGTGCGGTGAAAGCAGAATTCACTGTGTCAGTGCTTTTGTCTATGCTAAGTACTTCAGCATTACGGTGTACACACTGTACTGTACGCAAGCTGTTTTTAACACCTCTATTGTTACAAACATCTGAGCCTAACATGCTGCTACAAACACTTTGATTGTTGCATCACTCAAACTCACTTATAATGTTCCTCATTAAATTAATAATGATTGTTGAACAATTGAATATTTAGACAAATTAACTTGTAGGTAATATTGGTAGAAGTCAAGCTATTCTATTAAAACATGTTATGGTTATAGAACTTAAATTAAAACAAAATAATCCATAGTATAATCCTAAGGTGTAGATATGTTCAAGAAATTTATTTATTTATAAAATAATAGCACACAATAGTAAAAAAAAAAACAATAATTCTTTTATATTTCAGTCAAACTAGAATTTCTAGTTGTGTATTGTTCTTTAGTCAAGAGTCCGTCTTTGATCTTTTCAAACCTCTGTTTTTGTGGTAACACTATTGCTATGAATCCAAGATCATCTGGTTTGGTCAACATGATGTTTGGAGTTTCTGCTAGTTTGCTGTTCATTTGCACTAATTTTCCCGGGACGGCCGACAGTATTTTGTGCTCTTCGCCGTCAGAACAATGGACCTTACACAGAGTTGACCCTGCCTGCACAATTTGAGCTCCTCGTTTTCCTTTTCCCGTCATTATATTGCTGAGGCGGTCAGTGTTCCCTGATACTTGAAAATCTATTTTGTCGATGGTTTTGCCCATTAAAACATGAGTGGGTGCCAACGACAAGATGCACAGATTGTTGGAATGAATTAACACACTGTAGTCTTGATTGGGTTTTTCGTTGACGTTCGTGGCATAACGAGATTCATAGTACCGTTGAACGACAGTCGGTGGAACATCTTTAGATATGTCAACCGTTTGTTCTATTGATGGAACTGAATCGTCGTCGATACCGAAATCATATACACTCGATTTGTCCATTTTCATTAGTCTACACGGTATACGAAGGTTTAATTATTTAGACACGTTTAAGTTGTGATCAAACTATGAATTAATGATTAACATTAGTTTTTACGGTTTTTGTTGGAATGAATCACTTTTGTACGAATGATGATGGACATGAAGTTCAAATTTAAATCTTTTAATTTTCGTGTACAATAACGTGCTACTGATAACGTATAAAGTGTTATCTGAATGTCATTAAAACCAATGGTACCAACTTAAAATATTTATATTATTTATCGTTGCCTCTTATTTTTGAATTATGAAGGTAATACTCCGCCATTAACTTTAATATATTTTGTTTTTTTTATCAAATCGTGCTAATTAAATGTTAATTTCTATACAAATGCATACAAGTTTTGTTCGTTATAATTATTTTCATTTATATTTGCTGTACTTAATGTATGTATTTTTTGCCATAAACATAATCAAAATATAACAATTTTGTGATGCATGTAAAAGTTTAAGCATTTTTACAATGACTAATAAACTAAATTGTCATTCAAACATTAGAAATGTTAATATTTTCAATGAGTTCCTTAATTCATTTTTGGTTTATTTTTGTTTTAGCTGGTAGTGCTGTTGATGATTTTATTGCTCAACTTGAACCTTTGTTGGAAACGGGTGATATCATTATCGATGGTGGAAATTCTGAATACCAAGATACACAACGCCGAACTAAAGCACTTGCCCAAAAAGGCTTGTTGTTTGTTGGTTCAGGCGTATCTGGTGGTGAAGAGGGAGCACGATATGGTCCATCATTGATGCCTGGGGGAAATCCAAAAGCTTGGCCATATATTAAGGATATTTTCCAAGTGAGTAGTCCTTAATATGAATATTATGTTGATATATTTTCCCTATAACTAGCAATTATATGTATACTATGAAGTAGTCTTGGGATATTTAATTATTTTAATTTGTTATTTTACTTACTTACCAATATTTAGTTAATATTGCATACCTATAGAACTGAATAATTTTCTTATAGAAAATAAATTATTAGATAATTATACCTGAGCTAATGTGCTTTTTTGTAATGTTATCTTATCATTTAAATTTTCTATTACCTTCAAATATTATTATTATAATACATTTTAAGAACCAAGTCTTAGTTGATCTGTACATAAATTCTATTCAAATTCATAACTTTGACAACCTAGCCTTGGTTCAATAAATAGTTCCATTAAACTAATAACAAAATATAGGTATTTTAAAGTTTATTCATGTTATGCCTACAGTTAAAAATAGTTTTGTTTATTGTTGTAATGACTGGTACAGGGCTATTTGGGCGTGTAATTTGATCATATTTTCTACTGCCTCAAGGCAACTGCCTACCAGATATATAATATAATAATCCTTACCTACCAAATTGATATTATAATAATGCTATGAAAGTAATTACTTTCACTTTGATCAAGATTTTATTTCATGCAATCTTAAGAAAATAGTATGTAAACATTATAGTTAAATTAAATATATTGTTATTATGATTGTTAAGAAATCCAATTGCCTCCAATTTTGTATCAAACCATATCTAATTTACAGAGTATTGCTGCTAAAGTTGACGGTGAACCTTGTTGTGATTGGGTTGGTGAGGATGGTGCTGGCCATTTCGTGAAAATGGTCCACAATGGAATTGAATATGGAGACATGCAACTTATCTGTGAAGCATACCATTTGATGAAATCTGCTTTAAAAATGAATAATAAAGAAATGGGATTGGCCTTTGAAGAATGGAATAAAGGGGAATTGGACTCATTTTTAATAGAAATCACAAGAAACATAATGCAGTTCAAAGACGACAATGGAGAATATTTACTTGAGAAAATCCGTGATGCAGCTGGCCAAAAGGGTACTGGTAAATGGACCGCTATTTCTGCATTGGATTATGGTGTTCCAGTCACACTTATTGGAGAATCTGTCTTTGCACGATGTCTGTCTTCATTAATTGATGAAAGAGCGGAAGCTAGTAAAGTTCTTCAAGGACCAACAGAGGCCTTTAACGGAGATAAACAAGCTTTCTTAAAAGACATTGGAAAGGTAACTTAATTTTAAATTCAGTACAAATCAGTTACATAGAGTTCCAAAGGTCAGTAGGTTACAGTTATAATGTGTTCTCATTGTAAACAAAATGTGATAAAATATAAAAAGTATAAAAAAATATTTTCATTAATACTGATTTAGTTAATACTAAACCATAAGTTAAATTGATTATGATTGGAAGTTTTCACAATACTGTAATCTTATTCTTAATTTTTATAAACTTAAAAACACTAGAACCTTGTACATATTTAGCATAATGTGTATAGTTATTCACATCTATTCTATAATATCTACACAACGAAATATATTGATTTGCTGGTAGGAACTGGCGTAACATATAGAAGGTGTATGCACCATTGTTGATGTCTTGTTCTAATACATATTCATTATTAATTGGTGTGATGTATATTTTTATATTTTATTTACCATCATATTATAGACTCTTATATTTTACTCTTTCTTAGCGGCATCTCATTCTAAACGATAGTCCTTATGATTTATACTGTATTTAAGTAACTGAATGTGTTGATGTAACACATATGTTTTTGTTGCAATTTAATATTAATATTTTGTTTTAAGGCGCTGTACGCATCTAAAATTGTTTCATATGCTCAAGGATTCATGTTGATGCGAGAAGCTGCAAAAATACACGGCTGGAACTTAAATTATGGAGGAATTGCACTCATGTGGCGTGGAGGATGTATTATTAGAAGGTTGTATTATTATATTTACTTTTAGCTACTGAAGAAATTGTTTGACGCAAATATTGTATTCTAGTGCATTCTTGGGAAAGATCAAACAAGCATTTGAACTTGATCCAAATCTTAAGAATTTGTTACTTGATCCATTCTTTAAAGATGCCGTACACAACAGTCAAGCAGCTTGGCGCAAGGTTGTTGCTTCAAGTGCCATGCTAGGTATCCCCACTCCAGCTTTCAGTACGGCTCTTGCCTTTTACGACAGTTATAGAAGTGCTAGGCTTCCGGCCAATTTATTACAGGTAAAATATATACTAAACACATTTGTTATTTATTGTTTAACATGTAGTATAATTGTAAACAATTTTAATTTGCTAGGCTCAACGTGACTATTTTGGTGCTCATACTTATGAGCTTTTGACTGCTCCTGGAAAATATATTCACACAAACTGGACTGGTACTGGTGGTGATGTTTCGGCTAGCACATACAAAGCTTAGGTGTGTAACAAGCACTGATTGCCTGTAAATTATTTAATTTTTGGGACCAGACATATAAAATGGGTTTATATATTCTCACAGATTGCTTGTTAAAACCGATTTTATGTTATTGTATTTAAATAAAATGTACTTTCATCTACTTAAAATTAATTATCATGAAACTTAAAAAAATATTAGTTCACTTCTGTATTGTAAAACATGATTATTGTTATTCCCCTTTTTAAACTTTTATATTTATATAGTGTACTGTTATTGTTAAAAATGTATTGTTTTGTCAAAAAAACCCGTTTTGTTAATAAGAGTATAATATTTTTTTTTATTAAAAGTGGTGAATTTCATAACAAGTTTATTTTTTTAATGACAAATTAATTGTTTCTGTGTATAAACAATAGTGGAAAGTTGATGTGTAGCTATCAGTTACTGTACTGCTTTGAGTGGACATTGGCTTAGAGATATTATTTTTTATTGGGAACACGTTTGGGGGGGGAGAGAACTGACTCATTAATTTCAGGGATACTGTTAAGCTTTAATATTGTATTTTACTCTTAAGCCAATAAGCAATCATTTCATAATATTGTAAATAATAAACTACTACATTCAATAGATGGTCATAAGGTATGAATTTCTATATATTTCATTATAAATACAATTACAATGCAGGCAGTGTCGGTAAAAATATTATTAAACTCAAAATAAACTTTATAAGGATATTTTAATTGTCTATAATTTAAAATCCATAAATTTCAAAAAATATATTTTAATATATATTTATAAATACCATTAATACACATCCTCTCAATCCTTAAATATTGACAAATTCAAAAATTATTGTATATTAAGATTTATCAATTTTTAACTATAGATTTATGTACCTACTAAGTATGTTAAGTTATCTGTTAATGTTATATTATTAATTATATTTGAATATTTTTGCCTAAGTCCGTTGATTCGGTATAGTTCAGCTGCTGTTCTTAAATCACTTATGTAGTCAAGACTCAAGGGTACCTAATAGGTAACTTATTTGTTAATATTATATAATATTAAATTAGTATCAAAAATATATAACATTTTCAAATGTTTATGTATAATACTTTATATTACAATAATGTCAAGGTCACAAATATAGGTATATTACCTACACGTCTTGATAAGGTGAAATGTTATCCAAGGCGTCTTTAAAATATGTAGGCATAATAGTTTTAAAAAAATTCAATAATTGACTGATAACATTTAATTTTTAGATTTCAATAACTTTTAATGTAGGTACCTAGGTACTTACTACGCACTATTTACCTAGCTATTTTATATTATAGATAGGAAAATAAAAGCATTCATGTCTTAGGTATGTATCCATGACCAGGGTCTGAAAATTTGCAGGCCTGGGGGAGAGTACATTTTGGGGCCTAAAATGTCATCATTGTCAAGTGTCCGTTTATAATGATGCATGAGCCAAAATAGGCTTTAAATATTACACTTTGTTCTTACAACAATATGAATAAGTAAATAAATTAATAACACAATACATAATTTACTTAAGCTTAATATTGGTAATTAAATTGATAAAATAAGTCAATAAATGTAGTAAAACAATATTATAAATTAACTTTCCTATTTTTTAAATCAACAGATGTGTCTATAATATTGTTATATTTTAGTTGGTCAGCAATTTCTTTCTATAGATACCCATTAGGTATAGGTAAGTTGGTGTCTTTTTCTTGGGATGGAGTGCTTTAAAGATATTTTTAATTTTCAACTTCAGCTTTAAAAATCGAATTTTAATAACTTTAAAATTATAATTTAGTTGCTACCTTAATTATAATAATTATCTACTAATCTACTACTCGATACTTACCTATTTGTCTAGAATTTTAAGCAACACCTACCTAAGTTAGGAAAAAATTATCTGTTTCGAAATTTTTTTTTATCAACGCATTTATCACCATGTACTTAAATTGTTAAGTCAACTTTGGAAGGTCAAAATAAACTTTTACTTGTTTAAAATTTAAGTATC